GCCAAATGGCATCCGCAAATGTCACCCAATGGACACGTAAAAACCATTCAAATATGAGGCATAATTTAGGTCACATTTTCGAGCTTCTAATGCGGCGGAATGGAGTTAATAAGGATAAGAAATTTCCTTTCAACGGGTTTCATAACCAGTTTCAAATCCTTAAAGCGCATTGCAATAAGCTTATTTCTTATGCTCACGCTCCATGAAAATTTAATTTGGAAGCATATCAATTGTCAACCGTGCTTAAGCTCAAGCACTTTGAGTCGCTTTATCATTTATAGAAATTTTCCCACCAAGAGGACACTTTATTCCATCCTTCTTCACTTTTCCATGACGAAGTTTTGAGAACCCATCTGTTGTTGGCCAAAAATGTCAAGCGTCATTCGCGACGTCAGCCAGAGTTTTGATAGCGAATTTAAGTGCAAACCTTCTGCCGACAAAATAAACATGGTGGACAACTAAAATAATATTGCATCTATTCTAATGAAAGATCAACAAATAAAAGTGTTTGTACCCCGTTAAAGTTTTTCTTTCTTGAGAAAAAAAAATGTTATTTGTATTACAGCATTTAGTTCGGTGCGAAATGGTTTGGAAATGTTATTAAATTATTTTAAATTCACTTTATATGTAATTAGCCGTTTAGCAATATTTTTTGTAATTTACACCGTTTAGGCTAATCAAATTAAAACTATTTAATGTCATGGTAATTGGATTGCCCAGAATTTTGCAAACTTTAACTCGGCTTTACTCATCCTCCTCAAAATTTGCTTATTTATTGCTGAAATATTAATCGCTTTACACCCGACTTCTCTTTTCGGATTTATTTACCCGCGAATCGTTGTCGTGGCAACTATTTCAGCTGTGGTCTGTCTTGTACCCTCTAAAGAAAGAGGGTATGTTGGGTCTGTAAAGTAAGGCAAGCTTTTGTTTCGCAGAAATTAATTTTAGTTTATCTCGGTTATTTTTGCTTATATTTATTGGTCAACGTTTTCATTACCAGTGAATTCGAAAAGGGTATTCGCGCTGTCCAACAACCAAATATTTTATTACTGCTTTATTGGTTTGTATATCTTTTATACAGAACGTGGGTGTATTGCCAATTAAAAAGATCACGAAATGCTTAAAGGGTAAGTAAATAAATTCCATTTGGTAAAGTCTTCCAGAGTATTGTGAAAGGTACAAAATTTAATTCAAGAAATGAAAACAGTAATACTTTATTTGCAAAAAACAGCTTGTCTTGTTGTGAGAAAGACCTCAAGTCTTTTGTATGCTTATAATGTACCGGCTGAAAAAAGGTCAGATGTTTGCTTTTGTTTCGAAGTACGCGGTTTTTACTTTGAAGCAGCTCATAAAAAAGAGGCTCAATTAAAAAAGGCTTAAGGTTTCCGGAAAAACCCTCCTGTAGTCTTAATGCCTACAGCGTTCACATATGCCGCATCTGCCTAATTTCCAATGAATCTCCCTATATTTTAACACTGAACTGTCACCCAAGCCCACAGCTTTTTTGGGGTAAGAAGATTGATGTCTGGGCCTCGTTCCACATTATTTACTAGCACGATTTATTGCTGACAAACGGTTTTTCGCTAATGCGAAAGCTCAGCCGACTTATGTCCTAATTATTTTGGCTTCAATGCGTGTCGGTTGAAATATTTTTCAAATCCCCCAATGACGGAAGACGACTTTAGTCACTGGCAACCAAAATGCGGCTTTAATACCCCAAAGCTGTTTTTACTTTACACTTTGCAGAATTCTCTTTCTAAACAAGCCATTTATAAGCCCCCAAATGACCATTTAGAGCTGGTCATATTCAACAGTAAATATGCCTTCTCGAGGATTACGAATTTTAGGTTTCAAATTAAGTTTTCCTCGCTTTGGCCAAAGGAATTTTAATCCCAAATTGTTTTCTTCATTTAATATTCATTAAGATGCTTACATCTTTTATGGCATCTCTCTGGAGCGTAAATTAGCTTCATTTGAATGCTAATTTTCTAATTGAATGTATATAGACACCGAACCATGAGAAAGTTTGATGTGCTTTAAGAGAGCACACGCACATAAATCTACATAAATTTCCTGCCAAATCGACCCTTTTCCCGGCCACGCTGCGTATACGCAATAAAGCAAGTGACAAACTGGCTGCCGCTCTCGTCAAGCGTCGAGTTGCCCCAAAGATTCTGTTTACTTTCTGCCTTTTAAAAATACAACAGCACACATATAACCTCACCCAGTTGTCATAAGCTATAAATCAAGTGAAAGTCCAGAACGTCTGCTGGAGGCAGGAAAAGTCCTTGGTCCTTAAATCTGTCAATATGTTTCGTGAGTTGCAGGAGAAGTAATCAGAAGGCTTTAAAATTTAACATTTGATTGAAGTCAAGATGCTCCATCTCCTGACTTTGACGCCCACTAGTTTCCGATTTCCATTGTGGTGAAAATCGATGCCTTGATGCATGCTCCAAAAAGTTTGACATCCATTGTTACACTTCCGTTTCCTGTTAATCTGCAACCATGGGGGGTTGTCGAAAGTTAAGCAACTTTACGATTTTTCGGTCCCATTAAAGATGCATGTGTGTACATTTCCCTCCAAGTTCGATGGAGACCACTGAGTCCAGCGGTTTGACTGGCAAGTCAAAGTGTCCAAAGTTGCGGCTGCTGAGAGGGACAGGAATTTCATTTGATTTCACTTATACTTTAATTGAATTTTCACTTAAGCAGTCAAGACGCTTGGCAAATATTGCCACTGCCGCCGCACTCAAGCGCTAATGGAAAACTCATTATCCTGGAATCAGGAGTCAGGGTGAGCAGCCATCTTCGCAATTAGAGAGAAAGCGTGCGCGTTTCTGGCTCGTGTAAGTTAGCTTATTGTCAGTTGTGTGTATACGACTAGGATCTAGGATTCTGGTGAAGCAGTATTTCCCTTAAGTGCCCCACAATGGCCACTTTAATGAGCCAAACAGCGAGCCAACTGCAGACTGTTGATAAGGTAAAACCGAAAGTAATAACACGTACTTGCAACTCGAGTGCATTTTTCTTTCTCTTTGAAATAGCCATAATTTCCATGAATGCAACGAGTTGAAATAATAAAGGGAAATAAATTAAATATAAAATAATTAAATGCAAATAAAATATTTGGAATTTCACAAACTTTTTACATGAGTAATTCCATTCAAGCATTGCAAGACTTCTAAATCAATTTCACGCTGGTATAAAATCCTTTTATCGAAGCCCGAAAAAGTCTGCCAGGCCAGCCATTTATTACTGCAGATCGCAGAGTATTTGTCGAAAAATTAAAGACCAGCAAAAAATATTTTTAAATTGATTGAGCAGCATTTAAACTCTTAAACTTATATTTGTGCAGGAATTTCTTGGGTAATTCGATATTTATCTAGCAGACTCTTCACCACTTAAGAATCCATTAGATTAGGTTTTTTTAGCATTCTAACTTTGACCAGTCTGCTGATATATTTGGCTTGTGTTTTTAAGGGCATCACAGTGAAATGTGCGGAATGTCGTTGCCTGTGGCAATGTCAATATTTGAGCGACTTTTCACAAATGTAATAACAGTGGCAGTTTTGCTGAGTCTTAATGTGGGAGTTTCCATAGGTTTCATGGCCATGTGCGCATACCTATTGACCATGTCCACTCGACTCTTGTAAAGCCAAAATTTTTGAAGAATAAAATTTGTTGTGCGTTTAAAATGACAAGAGAAAATTTCATAAGAGGGTAGATATTTTATTTTTATTTAATCGTTTTAAACCTTAAAAAGCTACAATTTATTTAGATGAGTATTTCTCCGTGTCACAGTTGCAGTGACACCGGCATCATCAGCCGCATCGCAGCATTTTTACAGTCAGGAAGTTGGACAACAGTTTGCGGATTGTGTGGCTTCTCCAGCAGCGACTCTTTGTCATCGACAGCTGGCGGGCAGGAAGTCCAGCTCAGTCGCTAAACCATATATGCATTTCAAGGTAGCGATTCGGTGTAATTTGTCCCTGCAACTTCACCAGGGGGCTTAATTAAGAGTGCCAATTTAGCCTCGTGATTAAGTGTCTTTTAATGAAGCTTCTATTCTGGTCTGATGACGTACGTAGTCCTTTGCCAGCAGTTGTATCGAATTGCAGTGGATACAAGTTATGTTTGTCTTTCAGGGGATTTTTAACTAGGGCTTTAAATACCATTAGCCAGCCACTAAAACCATTTAACCCTACTCGGGTCAACTCTTCATTTTCTAAAACCTAATTAAGTCCCTTTTTTCCCTCAACACCTTGTTGTTTTAGGGTTTGTTGACCTGCGGCTGTCTGCTCGGGCCAAACTTCAGCATTTGAATAATTATTTCAAATGACAGGAGGTCATCTGCTGAGTGGTTCAGTAGTTTGGCTTTGCAAAGCACTCGAGCTTAAACGGAGCTCACATCCTGTGCGCATTGTAAAGCACCGTAGTTTCCTCAAGGATTATAGAAGAACTTCAACATCTCGAACTCTTCGGAGTCTTAAGGGGGTATTATGATCTACACCAAGATAAAATTCATGGTAAGTCCAAATATTTTTTTTTTAAATAAATATTTTTGCTTCTGATTTAGCCCCGAGGGGTGTTGTGTTGTGTTACACTTTCATTATTATTTTAAAGTATGCAAATACTTAGTTTTAGATTTAAACAAAATTTAAATCTAAAATTTTCGTGTTATTACGTTTTTAGGACTCCACGTCACAGTGTCTTCGAATATAATTCGAATTTAAAAAAGAAAAGTAGCCAAAAAACATTAAGATTTCATGTGCCAAGGGAATGGTTTGTATTACTGAAGTTTGACTGCACTTTGCAATTGAGTAGCCAACGTAAAGCAATCTTTTTGTTGTTAGTTTTGTTAGGGGACCCAATACCCATTTAGAAATTCCTGGAACCTTTATTACGTCGCTCCGTTTATATGAAGCAGGTATGCACATTGTATTTTGCACATACATACATGAAATGCGTAAGTCTGTAGCTGTAAAAGAGGCATATTGCCAAAGACTCGTGTGCCTCTTGGGAATCGTATATCTTTTTATTCTGTCATTTCTAATCAAATGAATTTGTAAAAATATCAGCATTTTTCCTAAAACTTCTGGGATTGGGGACAAGTACGTAACGTTGACTTAGTGACGAGTTGAACTTGCGTCACTACAATGAGCTGGGCTGCAAGCCAAAGTAATAATTGGTATTAGGGCCAGTTGCTCTCCATTTGTCGGATCCGATGGTTGGTCTAGATGGTTTTTAGTTAATTGAAAATGCCTTGCCTCTGAGCCGTACACTAATGTCCTTACCTGTCCGGGACTGCTGCTCCTCCTCCTCGGTGATGGTGGAGAAGTTGGTGAGACGCTGCGAGGTGATGAGCGGACTGGCAGCACCGAGGATTCGTCGCCGCTTCCCGGTTGCGGTTCCGGGCTCCAGCTGTTGCTGCAGATAATGTTGCTGCTGCTGCTGCTGTGCCTGCTGCAGTTGCTGCTGCGATTTGGTTAGCTTCTCGACGGCTGTGAAGACCACAATAGGCTTGGGTTGGGCGGAGGCACACGGTGTTCAAGGGGGGAGGGCAGGTAAGCATACATGGGGGTTTCACAACACATTCACCGAATACCTACCGATGCCGAGGAGGACGCCTGTTGCAGCTCCGCTCGTTGCGAGCGGAACATTTGGTACTGCGAGATGACGCACAGCAGACAGTAGAGCTGGAAATGCAAGTGAAGGGATGGGTCAGCAAGCTATCAAAAGCGCCATCTGCTACACTTAACCCTTAACCCTCAACAAAAAACATAAAATAGCTATTTTAAAAAAGGGTTTGGTTTTTAGTAGGACCAAATGATAACATAAGTGCTTAAGTATTTAGCTAATAATATATTAAACATAATTCTGATAATAAAGATCACAAAATGTTATAACACACATGTCAGCGTTCATAAATGTTCATAAAAAATACAACAATTAAAGCTACTGGTTAAAGAAAACAGCATGCTGCGGCATTGAACATACATAATACCAATAAATTACAAATTAAGTAAATAATTGTCAATTAATTTTATTATTAGAACTGCTTTTTTTGCAGCATTTTAAACTCACGTTGAGGCACAGTAGGAAGAAGTCCATGGTGAAGATGAAACCGACAATCGGGTCAAAATTTACGCGGCGGGAGAGGGCCAAATAAACCAGGTGGAAGCACTCGATGAGCATGTCGCCCAGCATGAAGCAAATCCAGGGTAGCATTAGCTGTCGCTTGTTCTGCAATTTCACCCGGGATTGATGTTGAGGTTGCGCTGGTAACTGAGGTGGACAAAGCACGCCCCAATACACTCACCTGCTGGAGACCCAATATCAGCAGAACCGACGACAGAACCATCAGCATCGAGCAAAAGAGTAACAAAACGTTGAATATCACAGTCACTGCAAAGGGCATAAATCACACGTAATTGAGCCTCTCTCGAAGAACAAAAACTAGGGTCGGCTGGAGTGTCCTCCCGACCACTCCAGTATCCTTCAGCCTCACCTACAGTCACATCACCCTTCTCCAGCAAACTCTCGCCCGTCGGATGAGCGCGATTCCCCAGCAGGAATTCCTGCTCCCCGAGCAGGTAGAACAAAAACATCAGCGTCGAGAAGCCAAAGTAAACCTGCATGAGAAATATTGTGCAAAACATTTAAGGAACGGAATCCCAACAAAATCCCTTTCAAGTGACATTTGAGTGCCGTAATTGCTCAAGCAGCATGAAACTCGACTTTGTAATATGTTTGCATAGGTGTTTTGTTAACTTTGGTTGTTAATCATTCTAATTTAGGTCGTTTGGCAGCTATCAAATAAGAAAATGTTATTCCACAAGTCCAAGAATTTTAGTATGAGACACACAGTTAATGTGTCACATTACTCTTGCAATTCATTAGTTAACACAAGGTTAAAAGTGCTTTATTAACTATATAAACTAGAAACAAACTAATTGGTGCTAGGAGTTAATATCTATTAATTTGTTTCTATTTACTTTGTATGTCTGAAAGTTTAAAGCGTACTTCATTTCTCATTTTTGACCAAATAAAATATACTTAGATTGCATCTAACTAATGCTTGTGTGAAATTAACATAGTGCCATAAAATTCTTTGCTAAAGTCAACTTTTCTGAATTAATTGCGAAGAGTAGCTTTTTTGCACCGACATTTAGTGACGTTGGTGCTCAACTGGGTAATAAAAAGTAAGTTTTGACTTAAACAGTTCCGAGCCAAATAACTTTTTATAACTGTTATCCGTTTGACTGAAAAGTTCAGTGGGAATTTTGATATATTCCCTTTGGTTCCGGCCACATCTTATCTTCAGGAATTATTCATATGAGGAGCAACCCACCAATGTGTAGATGGCGCAGGCAAAGCTGCCACTCCGCACGTCCTTCCAGAAGCAACAAGACTCCAGGATGGCCATCTTTCAGTCCCTCACGCCTCGCAGATGAACATTCCAAGCACTCTGACACAAAAAAGGGATTTCCTTCGGGGGGAACGGCAGCCGCCACTTTCACTTGACTTTCTACACTTTCGCCCGCGGGAATGCCACCCTATCTCGCTTCCCGCCAAACGGTTAATTTGCCTGCTTTAGTTGTTTTTCTTTGCCAAAGTTTTTATTTGGCACTCCGCAGATAAATATCTAGGATATTTTGTGGCTGCTGGCGGGACACTGACACATAATTCCATACACAAGACGGCGCAGATTTATGACACTGATTTATGTGGCATGACCGGGCATATTTATGCGGCCCGAAGTGTGGGATCTCGGCACGTGAGACTCCGAGAGGAAGCGCTGTCGTTGAAAGACGCATCGGGACTGGCTTAGTGGTCCTTCGAAGGATACCACATTGGTTTCCACTTCGAAAGGTTCGCACTCGTTTTATGAATGAAAGTTCGAAAGTGGTCGTGGGGCAAGGGATTCTGGGGCTCACGCATGCGCCTCATCGACAAGCAACAGCAACAGGCGGTTCTGGACTCATTGCATTCTGGCTGCGGCTTACCGAATTTTCATGCAATTAGCCACAAACTGTGCTAGCTTTGCCAATACCACAAAATACTGCTGCGTATTACTTTTCGATTGGATTTGACTAAACTTTTAATTAACGTGGAAAATGCTCTGCGGGCGACTCTTGTGATGAGCCAACCGCAAAAGGAGGATTAATGGCGACGAGGAGTCGCAATAATTCAATGACAATGCCCTTTTCATGCTCCAGTTGCTGCCATCGAATCGGAAATGAAAGCAAAAGTCAAGTCACCATGGTAAATGGATAACAAAAATATAACAAGTCAGAGCTGATTAAATGGTATTAATGTTTGGCAGATGATAGTGATTCTGTCGTGATTGGCTGGGATAAATGGAAAATAAATGAGCAAGATTTATTTATTTCAAAAATGTTCAAGCTAATTTTTAGAGGCTCTCAATTTTTTTGCCTTTTGCATCTTTTTTTTTTTCTTTTCGACTACTAATCTCTTAACAAAACTGTAAAAAAAACTTCATAATTCAAAAGGCTTAACCTCAATCAACTTTCCATATAAATATATGTAAGTCATTGTTTATTTAACAAATTTGTATTTAATTAAAATTTTTGTAATGTTTTTGTAAAGTTTTGCTATTCACTAAGCTGGATTAATGTCTTTTGGATGTAATTAGACAATTTGTATTTTATTTTGTATCATGAAAACACGATTTATAAGTCATTTTTTTTCAATATGGCAAGTGAAGAAACTCGAAATGGATCGATTAACGATGGCGACAAGTCTAAGAAAAAGGAAAAGAAGCAAAAGGCTCAGCTGAAGAAGTCGTAAGTAGTAGTGGATATGCTCAAGAATAGCCAAAAAAACGTTCAATTTCAAACAGCAGTTTTTATGAAAATCCGGAGAAGGTGGACATAGGAGTGCAGGCGGGGGATTCCATGGATGAAATTAAAGTGAGGTATAAGGAACCGAATAGAGGTAATAGCTCCTATAACTCTTTGCGGAGAAGTTCGACAACGACAATGTCTTTGCCGCGACGATCATGGGAGACGGAGGATTACATAGACTTCGATGACCTCCTACCGATGATCGGCGAGTTCAGATTCTTCCAGGTGATGCTGCTCCTGTTCATGATCCCCTTCTGCTTCATCACCGCCTTTGTGTACCTGGGCCAGATATTCATGTCCCTTACGCCCCCCAAGTACTACTGCTATGTGCCGGAACTGACGCTGATGAACAATGTGGAGCTGCGCAAGCAGTTGTCCATTCCGCGGGAGAAAGATGGATCCTACAGTTGCTGTCGCATGTACGACACCAACTACACCAAGATCCACTTTGCGCCGAACCCGAGTGCCTACATCAACACTTCTTTGCCCACGATGCCCTGCAAGCGGGGCTATGTATTCGAACAGGATGAAAAGACCTACATCTCGGCCACCATGGAGTTCGGCTGGCTGTGCGACGATGACAAGTACGCCACCTATGCCCAGATCATCTTCTTCGTGGGCTCCATTCTGGGAGCTCTGGGATATGGCTATTTCGCGGATCACTGCGGAAGGTTGGCGGCGCTGGTCAGCAGCAGCTTCGTCGCCTTGTTGGGCAGCTTTGCCACCTCGATGTCCTACGACTTCTTCAGCTTTGCTCTGTCGCGGTTCATTGTCGGGACCTCTTATGATACCGGCTTTACGATGGTTTATATTTTGGGTAAGAAAGTGGATCAATTATTTCATTCCAACGGCTGAGAAAAATAGGGGAAACTTTAATCAATTGACCAAAAATCTTACAACTATAATGTCAATTTGATTTAAGATTCTTCCGATAATGTATTTTCATATATTTTATAAAAAAAAACTTAATACTTCTTAGTTGTCAAAATAACTTTGAATTTAGAACCGTAAATTTTTAATTTTAGGTTATTTTGCCTTAAGCAAATGCGCAGAGGGAAAAGCCAAAAACATTGTTCTTAATTTTACATGTTTGTATTAAATTAGTAACAATATTTAATTCCATATGAAATTAGAATTACAGGTAATATGTTAGCCCATTGGCTAGACTTATCTCTTAGGTCCTTAAAAGTTCAAAAAAAAATTAAAATAATGTTGCTACTTGCTTTCATTTCCAATTAAACGAATTTTTACTACGTGTTTTATTACTTTACCCCAATTATTAGGGTAATGTTTTATCATATTTATTTTTATTTAATATCTTTTCCTAATTTGTAGTTCTGGAATATGTGGGTCCCAAGTACCGCACCTTGGTGGCAAATTTATCGCTGGCCCTGTTCTACTGCCCCTGCACGATGCTGATGCCCTGGATCGCCCTGTCGGCGGGAGATTGGCGGAGGTTCTCGGCATACGCGTCGCTGCCCATTGTGCTGGCCATGTTCTCCTATTGCTTAATCCCCGAATCTGCGCGGTGTGTACTTCTCAACCATACCCCAAAACAAGATATCCCATCCATACAGGCATTTCTCGTTCTCAGCTGGCTGGTGTCGGTGGGTGACATCGAAGGGGCCATGGAGATATTGAAACGGGTGATGCGGATAAATAAGAAGAATGTGGCCCCGCAAATACTGGAACTCTTCGAGACGAGTTGCACACAGTTCTACAAGGAGGAGCTCCACGGACGCGATTTCAACGTGTTCTCGATCTTCAAGCGACGGCGGTTGGCCCGTTACATGGTCCTGCTGATCATCATCTGGATGGCCATGTCCCTGGTCTACGACGGACATGTTCGGGCGGCCAGTGTCCTGGACTCGCAGAATATCTTTGTGTTCTTCACCATCGCCTGTGCCACGGAGCTGCCGGGTAGTATCCTGGTGATCTTTACCCTGGATCGCTGTGGACGACGCTGGTGCTCCTTTGCCTTCACCTCGTTGAGTGGAGTATTCAGCCTGGTGGGAGCCGGGCTAACAAATCGAACGCTTATGAGGATATCAGCGCTAGCCGGGCGATTCTTTGCGAATATGTGCTATAATATTGGACTGCAGTGGGCGGCGGAGATACTACCCACTGTGGTGAGGGCCCAGGGAGTGGCCCTCATCCATACGATGGGCTTTGTGGCGATGCTGTTGTCCCCACCAGTGGTGTACCTCTCTCACGTGTCTTTCCCGCTCATGCTCTTGGTTCTGGGCGCCCTGGGACTCTTGGGCGGACTGCTGGCCCTCTTTCTGCCGGAAACGCTGAACCACGAACTACCGCAAACCCTAAGCGATGGAGCTGAATTTGGGAGGAATCAAAGGCTTTGGCATGTGCCATGCTGTGGCCGCGGAGCAAGGAAATCCCATCCCAGACACTGGCGCCGGGGCTCCAGCCTAAGGACCTTGTCGCGGGAAGAGTTCCGCTCCAGCAGAATGTTCCGAAAGACAGATTATGTGCACCGGGAGAAGAGCCAGCCCTCCAGCGAAAACCATAAAGTCGACGAGAAAGTAATCCGAACCTATAAATATAATGGCTAGATTTGGTGTAAGACAAGGTGAATTTTGTCCGAAAAAATTCGGAGAACTTCTTGTGAAACCTTCTTGGATTATTTCTTTCTATCTTGTTGTTTATTACTTGTAGTTATTGTTTAAACCTTTATAAGTTTTTATTGGTCTCCTTTTCTAAAACGTTTTTAGTTTAAATCGAGAAGAAACGCTTAAGTCGAGTGCCTCGACTTTTACTAATAGTCTGACGAACATTTCCATTTAATTAGCTCTCATATCAAATGCTTTAGTTACGGGGAAAATTGTGGAACACTACTGGGTAAGACACTCACTCATTCACAGCTAGCAGTCAAACCAGGAAGACATTATTTCGATGCTGGGTAGAATTGCATTGGCTCTGAGCGTTTTATATGTGGCTCTTAACACTGTGCTTCTGCGCTGGGCTGCTCAAAAGCCACAATTAATATATTTTGACGACGAGGAGCACTTTAATGTAACGTTAGCAAAACTACTGAGGCCGAGATATGTGGGCAGTGCAGGACATTCGGAGGTGCGTGACTTCATCGCGGAGGAGCTGGAACGTTTGGGCTTTGTCGTCACAAGAGATGACTTTCAAGAAGGCGCTAATTTCACTAATTTGGCAGGCTTTTGGAATGAAGATGCAGAATATTTTATGATGCTAACCTGCCACTACGATAGCAAAATCCCCAAGGATTGGAATAAGGAAATATTTCTTTCAGCCACGGAAGGAGCGGTTTCCTGTGGCATTCTGCTAAATGTGGCTAAAGCCTTGGGAGGGTTTCTAGCGGAAAAGTTGCACAAAAAAAGCGACTTAGGTTTGGCTGTAAGCAGTTAAGCATGAGTGTTTAAACTTATTAGTTGAAATAGTTTTTTAAAGCTGATCTTCTTTGATGGTCATAGTTCGTTGTCTTCGGATCCCCTAGACGAAGCTCGTCTCATTGGCTCAGCACACTTTATGGACACGGAATTTATATCTATAGAGAAAATGGTAAAAATATATAATATTCTTATTTAAGGTAATTTTATAAAATGTATTTTTTTTATAGGCCGTGGCAATAATACTTAGCTATATTGGAGCGCCTAGTCAAACTTATGCGAGTCACTTTGAAGTCACCGATGACCTCCATAATATGATTGCTGATGTGGAACTGCTACTCAGAAAATCAGGACAACTGACTGACTGTCATGTGTTGTTCGAAAAGAAAAAACAATACGACAATGACCTCCTTGACGATCATCTTCTATTCAATGAATTAGGTAATTGTCTTTGTTTAGGAGATTATTTTTGTTTTAAACATACTTCTGCCTTCTTAGGTGTGCCAGTCTTGCACGTGGCTCCACAAGAAGTTCCGAAGGTCCTTTATACGGCCGCTGATAATGCCGAAAACTTACATTGGCCTACCATTCGTAACATGATCAAAATATTGCGCAGATCTGTGCGTGATTTCTTGGAACAATGGGATTCCTATGTGTATGATGAGGATACGATTGTTTCACATACTGATTTAGATAGTGATTAATGGGCGTATCAGACAATTTTTAAGTATTCTTTAGGTTTTTAAAATTTTTTGATATTGAAAGTGAGGCTATCTTTAACCTTAAATGGATAACGATTTTTAATTATTTTAAAAATTTGCTGTAAGGAATTTATTTAGTAAAATATTTTTGTTTAATTCTGTATTTAAATTAGCTTCATAGCAATATGCCAATAAAAATAGCAATACTTGCGTATACACAATATCATAACTGACCTCAAAATAAAAAAAATTAGTTTCTTTTAACGTTTTTTTATCTTGACAAATTGTGTAAATTTTACCTTACCTAATTACTTATTTTCTCAAAAACCTTGTACCTAACCTAGATCCAATAAACAATTACCTTTCCCAACAGTGTGTATAAGTTTCCATTCCTACAAGTTGAATTTTGTTTGCTGCACTTATAGGGTTAATCAATGCTAAGTCACTAATAAAACTTCCCCTGAACGAGAGCAATGTAATTAAGCTAATTATTGCTATCAGCGGCAATTAATCAGATCACAGTGTGATCACACCGCACTTTTCCCCATCGACCGTAGGCTTACAAGCTTTCCGAGATCTCTCTCACCTCCAGCGACTCTTTCCAAAAACTCTCTCGAGCCGAGGCCCAAAAGCTTTCGAAATAATTTTGCCCGCCAAAGAGGCAACGGAAAGCGAAAACAAAAGCCATCAGCATCGAAATTCCAACAAAAACTACGGTAAAGATCGATCTTGCAGGCGTCGATCGACGCGGTTAGTGAGTCGCCAAGCTCCGAAGCGTATAGATGGGGATCGGTTTTGTGATTTATTCCGCCGCCGGCCTGCTGCTCCTCCTCCTGCCGCCCTCCAGACCACAAGCTCCAACGGGGAACGTAAGTTTCCCCCCTAAAAACAATCAAAACCATTGTGTGACTCACTTGGGAAATCACAGTTGGTTAGGCGTCAAAAAACCCATCCATAACTTCACCTACATTTCAGGTGGGACCACAGTGGCGGGACGATGAGGTCCATTTCAACCGCACCCTGAACTCCATTCTGGTGCCACGCGTCGTCGGCAGTCGGGGACATCAGCAGGTGGGCAATACAACTGGAAATATCATTTGGTTCTTCGAAAACATTAACATTACGAACAGGTGCGCGAGTACCTGATACAATCGCTGAACGGCCTTGGCTTTCAGACGGAAGTGGATGAGTTCAAGCAGCGAGTTCCAGTTTTCGGCGAGCTGACGTTCGCCAATGTCGTGGGCACGATCAATCCCCAGGCCCAGAACTTCCTGGCCCTGTCCTGCCACTACGACAGCAAGTACTTCCCCAACGATCCTGGATTTGTGGGGGCCACGGATTCCGCGGTGCCCTGTGCCATTCTGTTGAACACCGCCAAGACCCTGAGTGGCTATCTCCAGAAAGAGTTTCGCAATCGCAACGACGTGGGACTTATGGTGAGTTGCTTACGTTAGCGGTCGCTAAAACCTTGATAGTTACAAAATTTCCCATGCAACTCTATGGAAAAACTTAAGCGAAAACCAGTTATTAATAAGGCATATCTCTTAAAGAATATTTACCCATTATTTGATTGAAAATGTTTTTAAATGTTTCTTAAAACTTATAAAATGGTTTTGAAAATGCATTATGTTGTATATTAGGAATCTTAAAAGTGGCCTTCAAATAACACACAATATTTAAGCCATTACGAATCCCAATTTAGTTATTGTTTTGAGTGGAATGTGCCAATCTTTGCACTTAAAAACTATAATTTTTTTGTTTTGATAATATACTAGTCAGGCTCCAGATTGAATTTGTAATAATATAAACCATGTCATTAACCAATTACCTGTTAGCTCATATTTTTCGATGGCGAGGAGGCTTTTAAGGACTGGACTGAAGCTGATTCCGTATACGGCTCCAAGCATTTGGCCTCAAAATTGGCCCGCACCCGCAGTGGCTTCCAAACTGGCGGCCAAGTTCAGCAGGGTCCACGCAATATAGATCGAATTGTAAGTCAATGACCTTAATGAGCATTATCAGCTTGCTAAAATTGAAGCATTAACAGGAAGTGCTGGTGCTGCTGGATCTTATAGGGGCGCGAAATCCGCAGTTCTCTAGTTTTTATGAAAACACCCATGGTCTGCACTCCTCTCTTGTTCAGATCGAGAAATCCCTGCGCTCTGCCGGCAAGCTGGAGGGCAAAAACAATATGTTTTTAAGCCGTGCCAGCGGCGGTCTGGTCGATGACGATCATCGCCCGTTCTTGGATGAGAGTAAGTTTTGTTTTGGCTTGCGTTCGTAATTGTGTAATTACCAAATGGTTTTACTTCTAGATGTTCCTGTGCTGCACTTGGTGGCCACTCCGTTCCCTGAGGTCTGGCACACGCCTCGCGATAATGCCGCCAATCTGCACTGGCCATCCATACGCAATTTCAACCGTATTTTCCGTAACTTTGTGTACGAGTACCTAAAAAGGCATACGGCACCGGTGGATTTACGTTTTCACTGAACATAGTTATTGTTTGTCTTATGTCTAAGATTTATTAAGCATAAGTGTAAAGTGTTTTTCGTTAATTAAAGTGTCCTTAGGCATGTAAAATCCTTTCTAGCGACGTTTGCGCCCTGCCTGGGCCTTCTTGCCCGGAGCCCGCTGGCCGTGATTGCCCTTGGACTTCTTGCCCACCGCCTTGCGACTGCCCTTGCCCTTGGGCTTCTTGTTGCCCTTCTTGGTTGGTTCATTTTCAGCCTCTGCCTCGCGTCTGTCAAAATAAAAGAAATAAACATTTTGGATATACTCGATTGAGTGATCGTCTTGAGTTAAACTTACGCCAAACGATTGTTGCGCTTTTCCATGGATATCGCCTTGTCCACGTCCAGCTTGGGCTTCTTGTTCAGCACGCTCTTGATGAGATCCAGGTTGGCCTCCTTCTCGGGCATTTGTGTAATATGCGACTGCTTGCGTTTGCCGCCTGGAATCAGCTCCTTGATGCCCAGACCACGAGCCTCCTTCTCCTTGGGCAGTTTGCTTTGGAATTTGCCCACAGAGGCTGTGGACGATTTGGCCACTGTGACGGCGGTCAAGAGCTGGCTGGACGAGGCAGCCTCAGGTCCCAGGTAACCGCTGCGCGGCATGTCGATCTTCTTGGCGCGCACAATGTTCTTCATGCGCTGGATTTCGTTCTTGGCCACCTTCTCGTTGCGCAGGTCGATCTTCTTCTGGAACATGTCCGTATTGGGGTCGGCGTTCTGTGGCACCTCCAGCACCCAATCCTTGGCCTTCTCGGCCTCGGCACGCTTGAAGCCATATGTGGGCACCCATTTCTGTAAGAATTCAAAGGATTAGTCGTGCTTCTTCACGGTTTTAGAGGGTTAAACTTGCATCCATGGTCTCGTCGTAGGTCTTCTTCTCCTTCTTCTTCTTGCTGATGCCCTTCTCCTTGGCGAACTTCTCCCATTTGGTCATGGGCCGAGGTCCTGGAGGTTTTCGGAGGCGTGGCAATACGGTCGTGGGTTCCGGCAGCTTGGCCACAATGCTCTCGTCCACCCGCTCCGTGGAAAGTTCCCAGATGGCGTTCACCAGCAGTTGGGTGTTCTCCCGGGTCAGTGCGGCCAGGTACTCCTCCTTGTTGTCCCTGGAAGTGGCCCAAAATCAGTTGAAAATCGGCAACACCACACCGGATTTTTCACTCACCTCAATTCCCGGTCATCGAAGTCGTTGGGATCTGTGATCAGCAGGGTTCCTACGTCCAGGCGACATTCCAGATGCTTTTCTACTGTGATCGGCTTGTATTTGTCCAATTCCTTCTGGTGTTTGGCTAAAACTTCCTTAACAACATCCATTTTAAGGATAATAAACAGCAAAGAAGCAAATTCAATTCCTCGTACACGTGCTGACCGGTGGGACCGTAATTTAATGAAGAAAGTACCCTTAAATATACCAAATAATTAAATACTATACGCTTACCACATACTCAAACCATGGTTGGGAACTATGATACAAGTTTATCGAGTAATCGATTTTGGGGTGGTCACACTCAAACCCCTAGGCGCCATTTTCAAAGAAGAAGTTGCTTAGCTCATAACTTTACATACAGACATCCTTTAAAGTCTTGTGGCTTGAATCTCTTAAAACTAAATATAGTTTTGTTGTTTTGGGTTCTTTTCTTATGATGAAACCCCTTTTTTAACTTATACAAATATATAAATAAATTACCAAAAACCTGAATTGCAGTTCCGGTTTGATTTTATTATTTATTTAACGTACTCCCTTTCTAAATACACTTCATAAAATTTTATTTTTTGGCACACTTCAATAAAAAATTCCTGGTCCCATTAATACTTAAATCGAACCGAAACATAATTTCCTTGTACACTATGTACAAATCCAAATGGGAAGGTACAAATATTACAAATTCATTGATTACCATTTATTTTGCGATCTCTACAACGTAACGTCCATCGCCTATCCGCTTCGTCCATCGATTGAGGCAGCATAGTGCCTTTGGTCTCTGGCAGGACCATGACTATTACTCCTCCGATCACCGAAAGCAATGTGATTATGAACATGGGCAGAGATGCGTAAAAGCGGTGGGTGTAAATGACTATCGGTGATATTAGGGCACCTATCTGACCCATCACGTTCACGCCAGATAATCCCTGACCACGCACCACAGTGGGCAATATTTCAGAGGCCCACTGTTGGCCCACATTGTAGGCCATTGTTATGAAGAATCTGGCCACAGTTGCCGCTATCGCAACATCCCATTGCCTTTGCAGAAAAGCAGCCAAAAGGCTGAAGGCCGCGCAGCACAGCATCACAGCTATCATTACGGGTTTGCGACCAACTCGATCTAGCATGAAGACTAGCAAAATTCCAGAAGGGATTTCGACGAGCGAGGAAAGGGAAAAGGTGATAAACACATCGGTACCCAACAAGGCGACGACCCGCACATGAGCATCGTACACCAGGGCCACAATCATCCAACTGAGGATCAATATCGTAGTGACGACAAATCTGCGAAAGGTCTTGAAGAGATCCAGACAGGTGTAATGTTTACCAGAATGCTCGTCGATGAAATCCAGTTCATAGCATCGCTCCATCTCAGACCACTCCTTGTCGGAAATGGTTTTCCCATTGCTCTTTGCTGCCTCTTTCAGGACTTGCATTCCTCTTTTCACCTTTCCCACCGAGAAAAGCCAACTGAAATGCAGATTTAATTGTTTTACAAAATTAAGTTGTATAGGAGATACATGGATGCATTCTTATTCGTATTCATATTAAGTTAAAAAAAAGAACCTAAGAAGCAAAATTTGAGTTCATTTTAGAGTTTTTTTTTACTTTGCAAAAGTATTTAGAAATTGTTTAAACTCAAAGTAGTAGTTTCTAGTATTAAAGATCAGTTCAAGTTCAAAAAGTTATCTTTCTTTTTTTTATGACACTCTCTCAGAAACGAACTGGTATTAGTTTTATTTTCTTATATTTTATTTTAAGCCAATCCTCAAACAGGAACTTACCTGGGGGACTCGGGAAGCAGTAGGCTCATCAATATCATTATCACCACCGGCAGTGAAACAGCCATAGCATAGTGTCTCCAACTGTGGAAGGCATAGGCAACCCAAGGCAGAACGACGGAGCCCAGAGTGAAGGCAATTGCCAGGGCTAGGTTACCCACCAGTGTACGATATTTGATGCCAACGTTCTCCAGAGCTGTTTAGGAAGATGTTAGCAAAAACAGCCCCCACATACAATGTTGTATGGTTAGTGATATAATAGAAACACTCACTTAAAATATAGATGGGAACGAAGCAGCTATTCATTGCCAATCCGACCAAAAATCTGCTGGCGGCAAAGCAGAAAAAGTCCTTGCAAACAACAGTGACGCAGCCGCCGATCATGGAGCAGGAATTGGCCAGGAACGAGGCCACCAGACGACCGCAGTGATCGGCGACGTATCCGAAACACAGGCAACCCACAATAGAGCCCACGAAGAAGGCGAGCACGGAATAGGTGCCTAAGTCTTGATCATCGCACACCCAGTTGTACTGAGTGGCAATGGACTCGTAGGGAATCTGGTCACGATCATAGACCCAACCATCGTTGCAGGCTATATTGCTCCGGGTCTGATTGGTTACGTTACTCACATCCGATTCAAAGGGCACATTGTACCTTAAACATCTTTCAAAATTTCCATCCTCTGTCATCGGTATTCCCCGCTTGATTTGCTCCTCTTTAGGCAGCGCCTCCAGTTCTCGAATCCTGCACCAGTGATCTTTGGGCACCAGTATCATGAATATCTGTCCAAGGTAGGTGAATGCAAACAGAAAGGCGGCGGGCATCATCCAAAAAAGCAGTCGCTTTTGGAAGGCTCCAAACTCTCCGATAAACGGCAGGAAGTTTTCATACTTATTGCAGTCTGCTGAAGGCATTTTCACATTGACTTATTTTCTAAGCAAAATAAAAAAAATAATATTTAAATGCCAACTTTTCTTACACTTAAGAAAAAAAGATATGTAATATTCCTATACCGAATTTAACAGCAGCAGTAATGAAAGCAATGCATGTAAAAGAATAAAAAGGTCGTGACGTTCGCATCTTCCAAATACAAAATATCTAATATCAAATTTTGAGACAAAGTATAAATAAGAATTCAACAAAAAAATGTAAAATTATTTTTGTCAGTTGGAATTGCCTATATCATGATTAACTTTACTAGACTCTCTTGATGCAACTTATTATTTAAATTTTGTGATTTTTGTTTAGAATACAATAGTTTAACAAAAGTTTTTTTGCATACGCTCTGCATTATTTTTGCACAGCATTGTTGCAAGCGAACTTGTTTATTTGTTCCTAGTTAAAACAATCAAATTTTAGATAAATTTTAAATTTAAAAAATGATATCCAAACGTCTTACCGCCAATTTTAATCTATCGTTTTCAGGGGTGGCATTTTCGCTTTTCTTTCTGGCTGGTCAGACTAAACCATCAACAAATCGATCAATCGATTGACCCTGCTGACTCCCATCTCTAATTTGCGCGCGAATTACTTTAATAACAATGGATGCAGATTTGCTGCCGCTGAGGAAACGCATAACAAACACCTTCAAACTATGCGGTTTCATGATCCGCTCGGAGAACAGCTCCTACCTGGCGGAGCAGCTGTTGCCCTTCGACGCCGCGGAACGGGACAAATGGCTGACGGTGATCACGGAGAACCTGCAGAGCCAGAAGCTACTGACGCCGCATGTGGAGCGGGCGGCGCTGGAGAAGGCCATCAACGAGCTGAACCGGGTGGGCTTGGATGAGGGGGAGACGGTGTTCGCCCTAATCGATGCGTTCACGGTGCCCCGCTTCCGGTACAACCAGCGCGTGAAGAAGTTCGAGCTGGACACCCAGCCCCGCCAGCTCCTGACTGCTCCCCGCATGAAATCGGACTACATGCAGCAACGCTATGCCATGCTGCTCCAGAAAACCCTGCGCCACGACCTATTTGCCCCGGCTGTCATCCAGGATGGCGTCGGTGCCGAGGCCCAGGCCAAGAAGTTCAAGCTGCAGTTCGCCGAGAACCTGCTGGCCAGCTCGGCGATGAAGGAGGCCGTCGTC